TACAGACTCCCTAACATTAAGTGCAATTTAATTAAATTATTTTTTTTTTTTCATATAGCACCAATACACAACACATGTCATATGTTGTGCAACGGAAGATTAAATATATTGTCATGATTTTATCTAAGACTCTGACCCACATGCAGTGAAACCAAACAGAGGTTGGCACTCAGATTTCCTGCTGTACTTGAACGGGTCGTGGTGAAGACGATTCCCTTGCTCAGAGAGTAATTTCAACGTCCTCAAAAGGAGACTGGATCCAAACCTCCTGTTTGGAATCCCTGGCTCAGTTTAAGACTCAGTTGATTCCTCCTGGGAGAAGAGGACCGAAAAGGTCCAGTTTGCAGGAAGACTTCCCTGTATTGGCAAACACTCTGGCGTCGAGGTAGTGGCAATCAGCAGCTTAAGAGCACTCTGTTAATGAGGTAACCGTCGGCAGGTGTGTGAGGAGGCGAACCGGAATGAGGCGCCTCCTGTTGGTGGAAGGGAGACATATATATTAATAACTAGAACTGGAAGTTAATAGTTAATGAATACAGTCGATAAAATTAGTATTGAACATGCCACAATTTATTTCTGAGGAGCTATTGCCATTACATTTTCACCAGATGAGGATAATATTTTATATTTATAAAACATAGATGATCAGGAAGTAAGTTATGTGTAACAAAGTGGAACGACACAGCGAAAAAGTATTGAACACGTTAATAAAAGGATGGATAAAGGCATAGACAGCCAAGACAGCTGCCATAATCTCTCAGTAATTAGAAAGCAATCTTACCTATCTGTACAAATTAATATCAGCCAGTTCAGTTCCAAATGATGGCCTATAAAAATGTATCTCTGGTATCACACAAGAAACATCTCTTGATGGGTAAAAGTAAAGAAATTTCTCAAGGCCTTTGCAACCTTACTGTTGCAAATCAGAATCATGGAGTTGGATACAGAAGGATTTCTATACCTCTAAATGTTACAGTGAGCACTGTTGGGGTCATAATACAGAACTGGAAAAAACATCAAAAGATGTATAGAGACACCTTATGGCTTTATGAATTTTTGAGTTTATGAAATTATTAATTCCAGACCCCAACCCTGATTCTTACGGAATCCCCTGAGTTTATGAGATTATGCGTTTATTACATCCAGACACCATTTCATTCTAAGGTTGACCAATGAAAATATGGTGCAAAATGTTGTCCTTCTCTAAATATTGGTGGGGTAAAAGAGTTTCTCTATTTTCAGCAATAAAAAAAGCACTAACAATCTCTCCAACAATGCCAAGAATTCCAAGAGTTATTTACAAAAGCAGAGAATTAGCCTCTATCATGGAAGAAGAATCTGACTTAACTGACCGGTGTGAACTAACCGGTTCCTGTTCTGATCTGTTTGCCCGACCTGGCTTCTGACTCCTGCTGGATTCTGCCTGTTTAAGAGACTGGATTTTTCCTTTGGTACCTCTTCAGATCTCTGATCTTCTGGTCTGGACTCCTATGAACCTCTAGATTGTCCTGCCTTCCTTTGCCTGCTTGGATCTGATCTCCTGTCTTCAAGACTTCAGTGTTTGGAAGTCTCTGGGCAGCGTTCACCACGTCGTGTTGGCAGCTGTCCAGCTGGAATCAACCTCTTCCTCTGGGCACGGATTGAACTTTAAGGCCGGTTTAGTGACTCTCACATTTGTTATCATCCTCCGTCAAATTAAAATGGTCACTAACCTGTGTTTCCCTCCATTACAGGTTCCTGCCTTAGATGCCTAGCTGCCACCTTCAATCCATTGTTTTTAAATAAACACTTGTTGAGTAATCTGGGTCCAATGTTCTGAGCCTTGACACCGAAACCTCCACTCTGACTCCATATCATCCACCATCTTCGACCTTATACTTTTTGTAACTTTTCCAAGCAGGATTATTAAAGTAAATGCATTGGAGGAGGAAAAGAAATGGAGAGATGAAAAACAGATCCCAGCTAAATAATTTCACCCTCAGTTCAACTCTGTCAGGAAATAGCATGTCTACCTCTACCTGAGTCATCATTTAAAGATCTTCCTAGGATACTCGCCGTTTGTCTTTAATCTCAATTGAGAAGAGGACACTGAAACCTTGTCTTCTGTGTCTCATGGCAATTTGAGACTGGATAGGTGAATTATCACTACCTCACACCACTACACTCATTGTTTATGCCAGTTACATTTCTTTACAGTAGATTGACTCAAAGAGAAAGGTTTGATGAACTACTTTTGCCAATAAATAATCATAAATTGAAATTAACTGGGGTCTGGGCTTGCGACAAACTTACCCTACTACCACACCATCATAGCCGGCCCCCTTTTTTAAATTCTGAATCCTTATCCCTTAGACATGCCAGGCCAGACCTGGTTGGTTCTGACTCAGTAAAAGAATAGGAAATCCACTTTTTTGTTATTGTCACAGCTTCCATACGAATTTAGACTTCTACCCTCCCAGCATTTTTTTTAATATTGAAAGAAATATCTTAAAAAATGTTGTATCATGAACAATAACTCAACACTCTCTCACCACAGTATGCAGTGAGCATTGTATATCTTACCTCCATCATAGAGGGTGTCGTTTTTCAGTGCAAAATGTATGTAATGGTTTCAAACTTTGTAAAATAGTGACGTAATAAAATCCTTACGTTCCGCTCCTTTAACCAGGGAATTTATTCTTTAAAAATGTTTAAAGATTGTTTTAAATTGTGATGTTTTCCAGTAAAGTAAGAGTGAATGCTTTAAATGGAATTTCAAAAAAAAGTTCTTTATAGATATTCAATGACAATATTTTCACAGCAAAAATTATGGTCCGAGGTGAAGGATTTCTTCTTCTCTTATGTTTGCTTATTGTTTTTACTTCCCTTACTTATCCTCCTTTGTTCCAGAGAAATGTAGAGACAGGATAAAACTCTTTCTACTCTTTACAGTAGACCTATCTTTCTATATTTTTTGTGGTTCAGTCTATTTATTAGTAGGTACTGTTCATGTGCATGTGGGTTATTTACAGATGATAACGGGATGTTTAATCGATCCAAAGTACTGAGGAAATATTTCCAGCCTGTAGGTTGTAGAGTAGTGAAGGATAAGGTTCTTTATTAAATCAATTAAACTAGATCCCTTAATAGAAAGGTCTTGAAAATAATTTTCCTTTGAGGTCCATCCCCCGTTATGCTGAGAAAGTTTTCTTAATATGTACTCGGCATTTTTTCGCTCCTTTTGTGGAAAGCTTTATATCACTTTGCTTACTGTTTCATCCATTTCAGTTCACCAGCATTTCAGTCTCAGAGTGAGGCTCATTCTCTAGAC